TTGGTTAGTGGAGTTATATTCAATTTGCTTTTCTGGTAACTTTGCTATGCAAACTGATGACAATTTTGTGACATTTGTTTGAATTTTCATAATTGATGATGATCATCATTATTATTATTTATCGTGTCGACTAAGAAATATATGTATAGACTAATATCTTTAAGCATGTTGTGAGCTTAAAGATGATTAGATGTTACAAATTTTGAGATCTCATGTTGTATTGTGTCATATTGGTTTATCTAAACTTAGCAATTTCATATCGTTTGGAAATTATATTAATTCAATTTCATGTTGTTAAAAAATTGGATTGAAAAAGACAATTTCGCGTTGTTTAGAAATTGCGGTAATGCAATTTCATGTTGTTGAGAAATTGTATTATGGAGTGTAATTTCATGTTGCTTGGAAATTGCACTAATGTAATTTTATGTTGTTGAGAAATTACATTAAGGACCGATAAGAATTAGTGCATTATATTATTGATCACATTTTGGCTATAATTCTTACTACACTGATAGGCCCATAATTCACGAAGATATGATGCCTATTGTATGTGAATATGGAAGGTCATATGTTATGTTATTTTTGACATATTGATTGTCATGTTCCTACAATAAGGTTATATTGGATTGGATTAGAATGCGATTCTGGAATTGGAATATTATTTTCAAAATCGTGGGCACGTAAATATTTTTTCCTTGTTATTAACCCAATATAGTTGTTTTCAAATAAAATATTTTTAAAAATAAAATAAATTAATTAATATAGCTCAAGTGGAAGAATGTTAGCAATTTTAATATGTGGGAAATATTAATAAATATTTTGTTTTTTTTAAAATAATCGAGTTAATGGATATTTCAATTTAATATGTTATGATAAGCCCGTTTTGATCATGTTGAGTTGGACTTTTGACATCTATTAGTATCAAGCCTAGTTGGACAACACAATGTAGACATTGGTATCTGATTGGACTTCTGTGATGGGTGGACCCATCAGAGACACTTTTAATTAGGTTTTTGCTAGGTCTCCTCTCTAGCCTATTTAAATTAGGATTAAGTCCCATGAGCCGTTATGCTCCCACCGCAAGAAGGTTGCCACTTTTGGAATAGGTGATAGAGAGGAAGATCCTAATATGTAGTCCCTTTTTTCCTTCGGCTTTGTGAAGGTCCAACAAGGTACACATAATCCTAACCTTAATTTCTTGTTGTTTTCTATTTTATTATCATATACATGATCCAGGAATAATAAATCTATCACGAGGAAGATCAACGATAGGCCTTTTGACCTATATAGTTCTAAAATTTAAATTTCTGACCGGAATAAGGTTATGGTCAAACTATTTCCCATCCTAATGCATGGCAACGCGTTGTGTCAGGAACCGATTTGAGACGTGGTGGTTTCATGAAAGTTTACCAAAACGGGACCGTGCATAACATCTCCCATTTGCAAAGAACACGTCCTGTGTAGGACCATTTTTGCTGGTGTCAGAATACATGCTAAACACGGCGCAGGCTGAGACGTGTTGTGATAATGTATAACACGTGAGGGAGCCTCACATTTTCAGTCTCCTCAAAATGGCACATCCCAAACTGTGTTTCTTGATGTGACAATTTCAATCTGTGCTGCTTAAAAATGTGAGGGTACCTACCTATTTGTGCCTCTTGAAAATGTCATTGAAGGGACCATTTTAATTGGATGTGACACCATAAAACGACGCAGCTTAAGATGCCTCTTGAGACGATAGGTGCAACACTGTGTTCCAAGTAGGACAACTCCCTCTACGGACACCTAAACGCGTCACTTAGTGCACCACTTTCAGTAAACGGTAGGTTACCCAGCATTTTGCATGTAGGACAACCCCTTTTACGGACATCTGAAAGTGGTACTTGACATAACATTTGTAAACAGATTCTTTTTTGACACAAAACAAGGCACATTTCGCAACGGTGCTATTATCTTTTGTAAAATTTTCTTGTTATTCTGTAGCTATATATACTCTTATTGTTTAGTTAATATCAATTGTGTTCCTCTCCCATATATAATTGGTTGGGGTGTTGTTATGTGGTTTAGTGTTATGATGTTGAATTATTTTTGTTTTCAGAGTCTCTTCTTCTTCTAATAATTTTACACCGTGTTTTGTTCGTTAAATTGTTTTGTCCGTGTAATTGTTTTATTTAACCTCCTTTCACAAATTTTGTTTACCAAATTGCAGAAAAAAATGAGTTCAAATTTACAAACGGTTCGTGCACTTCTATACTATAATGGTAGAGAGGTAATGGATCGTCATGGTGTAACCTTTGAAGGTGAAAAAAGAACAATGCGAATTACACGTGGTACTAGTTTTGAGCAGTTAAAGACAAACATTCATTAGAAATTGGAGTTACATGGGAATCAATTTATTTCTGAAGTGACTCTGATAGCTCTTGCTGGCAATAATGAATATACAACAATATCAATTACAGATGATGATGCAGTCAATATTATATTAGATATCTTTTTGGAATAATCATAAATAAGTTCTGATCAGAGCAATGCAATAAAGTTTGTTGAGCTATACCTAGATGTTGAAAATGTCGAGGAATTGGCAATACCAATTCGGGCACTTGATCTGAATACAACAGCAGATGCGAAAATCCCATGCCAGAATGCGTCATCTTCTGCACCTCCAGCAGCGTGCAACAATGCTATATTTGAGGATGAAGAGGTTCCGATATAGGACTATAATGACGATTATGAAGAAGAAGAAGACGAGGACGTGTGTCTGGCTGCTGAGCCTGGTGACGATCAGTCAAATAGAGAAGATGATGATGATTGTAATCCATCCACAACCCCGATGATAGTCAGAAACACCACTCAAGGATTTTCATGCATAGTCCGGACGATACTTGGAAACAGCAGTCAAGGATTGTCATCAACAGGTTTTTAAGGGTTTCATAATGTGGTTCAAGGTTAGCAAACACATGCTTTATTAACCAATTTTTTCCTTATTAGTTAAGGTTTATTGTGTTTAGTAAAGTGTTCATTTTGATCTATGTTGTGTAGGTGATGGTAGCTCGAATCCATTTCGGAGTGGCATTTCACATTACTTATACATTAATTATGATTTTCCTAATAAGGATCGGGAATATAATGAGGGGATCAATACCGATAAATGGACCATTGGGGATGAGTTGTTCGTTAAACAAGAATTTGAATCTAAGGAAGCAGTGCAAATGGAAGTGAAGTCTTATTGCATGAAAAGTAATAAAGAAGTTGTTGTTGTTGAGAGTACAACTCTTATGCTAGTAATGAGGTGCAGGAACCAGGATCAGGGTTGCCTGTGGCGGATGAGAGCAATGAAATCGAAAAATGCTGCTATATGGGTGGTAACCATATGGGAGGGACCTTATAAATGTGTCAGCAGTAATTTGTCCTAGGATCAGGGTTTCGTCTTATCACCTATTTTTTTGGATTGACATCTAGCTGGGTAGCGTACTGAAAGTCGGATGTTGCCGCCTCAAAGAAATCATCAGAGACCGTAATTTCATCGCTAACAACAGACCTAATAGGTATATCTGGAGTAGAAAATTTGGCATGATCATGGTCACTCAGCATATGCATGTAAGGAACAATAGACTCCCCAAATATGGAAAATATTATATTATGCTGACCATTGTTGTCAAAACTAGTGTAAAAATGTAAAAACTTATGTTTGTACTAGAGTGGTGCGTGTTAAAATGCAAGTAAAAACGGTCTTTGGCAAAAATGCCGCGTAAAAACGTAAAAGCGATAAAAACTTACGTTTTTACCGTTTTGACCGTTTTCACTTAAAATGAATTATTTTAAAAAAAAAATTACAAAAAAAGAAATTAAAAAAAACCCAATTTTCGTTTTCCTCAAATTATATGCACATTATCTTGATATCGTTTTGTTTGGATATATGTCTTTTATAATTATGTCTTATAAAGCTGCAATTCTATTATAAGTTATGCTATGAGAATCGTTTTGTGTTTTTGGATCATTGTGTGCTTTGAAAAAAGTGGAATTATATCCTGATGAACGATGATCCAAAATCTATAAAGTGTATGAAACAGTTAGAGCAGATTGGTTATCCATTACTTGTTAGTTATCATTGTTTATAATTTTGATACTTGGTTATCAAAATAATTTTTCTTTTTAGATAGATAAGTGGCTCAACACATATGTTCATTATGTGATAGTTTTTTTACAAGCATATATATATATATATATATATATATATATATATATATATATATATATCTAATTTTGTATTTTGACCTTAAGTATTAGAAAGTAGAAATTTTCGTTTCGTGTCGTTTCTATGTTTTACGTTTCTACCACCCCTTTTCGTTTCTACATAGAAACTCAAATTTGACAACGTTGATGCTGACTGCTTGAACCTATGCCATCTTGGTTGTTCGTAGGACCTGACCAATATGGTGAATGGCACTGGGACTCCTGACTCGGTGGAGGATAACCCTACTCTTGGGTGGTGATGGTGGAATGATGTGGTGGATATCCAAAATATTGTGTGGGCGGAGGCGGCATGTGTGGTGACACTGGTTGTGGTTGTACCTGCAGAAAAAACTCAAACGAAACCATAGAACCTGCGGGATATCTAGGTGGTCTGTAAATCCCAGAAGCCCGTGGCCCGAGCAGGTCCAAACTGCGTATCTCTGCAGGAATGCATTCCCGAAGATGAGGTATTCCATGACCTTCCTTGGCCCTGGGCGGCACCTCAACACTTGCGTCCACATCCTCTGGTAATTGCATGGGAGGTGCCATCGGGCCAGGCTCAGTCAGTTGACTATACTCAAGCAACATATTAATTAATCTACCAATAACTGCTTGAATCTCTATTTTTGTAGCATCATCATTGTTTTTCGCCATCCACCAAGCCATCTTAACTGCATCATCGTTCTACAACCTTTTACACTCTAAAATAATTACGAATCTGTTATACCTGAAACAATAATGATCATTGTCATCGAATGCGGGTGGTATCACCACCCCAAGAAGAAGGAATCTGACCCATGCCCAAATGTTGTGCAACCAGCTATTTCCCTGGCCTTTGGGTTGGTCGCCTGACACATCTCCCTATACAGACGTGCTAACACTGCCGCACCCCAGCTGTAGGAGGTTATATCTGCAAAATCTCCTCCTAAAAATGGCATATATCTTACTGCAACCTTGTTTCCCGACTTGTCGCATAACAAAAAACCATCAATAAATCACAATAGATAAGCACATGTGTAGAGTAGCACGGCCACAGGATTGCCCTGGTGCACAATCCAATGTCCGTAAAGAAGGACATACTCAGATAGCTTCTATCCAGCTCCTGTGCTTGCGGCTGAAATCCAAACATTTGATGTATAACCTGTGACCATTCAGCACACGTTGTTCCAAACAGTGCTTGTCCATCCGAAGACAAACCAAGAATTGCTGCAACATCCTCTAGTGTTATGGTCACTTCGCCCTGCGGCATGTGGAATGCATGAGTTTTCGGACGCCAACGCTCAATTAGTGCACTGATAAGTCTAGGATCAATCTGCAATACGTTAACCCATTAACCATACTCATAAACCCATCAATAAATTACAAAAAATTACAGTGTCACCATTTAATTACTAACCGACAAATGCTGCATGTGTGCTACATGGTAAAAACTCGCACGTCTAAGGTGCTCAACCACAGGATCTGGAATATTATATGGATCATGAGGATGAGCTTCATCAATTACGTGTTCCATACAGCATGAGAGACATGAGTTTCTTGAACATCCATGCTCAACACACCATACTCTTCGTGTAATGTCCCGCATCGGTTGGAGAGGGGAACGAAGCATGCCTTAAATAAGGGTGTGGATACCTTTCCTTGTAGGAGGCCTTTTGGGGGTAACCCGAAACGTAAAACCGTGAGCTCGACGGTGCTTGTGCGCAGGGCAAAACGGACAATATCCTACTACAGGATTTGAGGCTGTTACATTTGGTATCAGAGCCTGGCCCTGGACCGGTGTGTACAGGGGGGACGCTGTATTCCCAGTGGGGGATGATGTAATGTCCCACATCGGTTGGAGAGGGGAACAAAGCATGCCTTAAATAAGGGTGTGGATACCTTTCCTTGTAGGAGGCCTTTTGGGGGTAACCCGAAACGTAAAACCGTGAGCACGACGGTTCATGTGCGCGGGGCAAAGCGGACAATATCCTACTACAGGGTTTGGGGTTGTTACACTTCGGGACCCGGATTAATCATGTCACGATCCAAGGTGAACCTGTGTTATACAAATATAATAAATTTGACAATAAGAAATTATAGTTAGTTTTGTTCTAAATATTATATTGCAAATATATTTCACAATTACATAAATATAGATTAATATAAATATCGAATATTACATGTACTTCATTATTAATATCTAAGGGCACAATTTTTTTAATTTTTTTAATACAAGACCTTTCAAATACTTAATAATATGACTAATAAATCAGGTTCAAAAAGGGATACCAAAAAATGCAAAAAATTGTACAAAAGTGATCCGAATAGAACACGAAATCTTATTAATACAATTACAATATTAATATAATTTGTAGATTTACTATAACATTAACCCAATGTCGATATATATGACAATATACCACGTTTATATTATTTCAATCTAATTTTTTTTAATCTGTCTTCAATATGCATTTAAAGTAAAGCTTTATAAAATGCTACTTTTTTTGGGCTACCCTACGTTAACCAAATAAAATAATTATAATTATTATATTTACTTTATCATGTTATGAATAAATTTGTTTCACATGATTTTAAGGCCATTAACGTTCTAATTTTTTAATATCATTAATATAACATTCAAGACCTACTTCCCCCTAAACCCAAACTTAATAATTCATTTTGAAAATTAACAATGTCCTGAGGGTCCATATGTAAAAAATAAGCTTGTGAAAAAAAAAACTATAAAAATGGATCAAATATAGGGGAAGGCAAACTATAAACAAAACTATAAAAATTTTGCCTTCTCCATACGTAAAAGTTCAACAAATAAAAATATACATGCGGCAAATATACTACTTACTTGGAATGGAGGACGAAGCTCAAGTGGTGGGGAAACTTTGCTTTTGCTCTGTCCATAAACTTCCAACTTGCTATAAAATTGGAGTTAAGCACAAACATCAAATTCAACCAACAAAATGGCTTAGGTAATTAAATGGACAATGAAAACCCACACACACAATGAAGAGAACTCACCAGCATGTACCGAGAGAGAAGGGAGAGACCAAATGCTACAAAAAATGATTGAGGCAAAATAACATTGTGGTTGTAGTGGTATAAGAGCTACCCCTTTGAAAAACGATGGAGCAGGTCCCGTTTTCAGGCTGCATGGGAGATTGCCATTCAAACAATGGACACGGTGGGTGCTGGGAAGTTTTCCAGTCCCTGAACGCGTCACTGCACCCGCGTTTTACATATCTCACATTTTCTAGTCCTAAATGCGTTAATGCATTGTCATTTCGGTCTGACATTTTTTCAGTTCAACAGGGACGCGTCTGGTTAATCACCATTTCTAACATGCAGGGTTATTTCATGATGGCACAAAATGTTTGCATGTGTGACGTTTTTAAGTGAACAGGGACACGTCTCCATGTATGATGTTTTTTAGTGAACTGGGACGCTCCTCCATAGGACGTGTTCTTTGCAAATAAAAGACGTTATACATGGTCACGTTTTGGTAAACGTTCATGAAACCACCACGTTTGAAATCAGTTCCCGACACAACGCGTTGCCATGCATTATGATGAGAAATAGTTTGACCATAAGCTTATTCTAGTCAAACATTTAAATTTTAGAACTATATAGGTCAAAAGGCCTCAACGATATCATATGCTTATAAATTTGAGTAGTTACGACAAGACAAGATCAACGACTTTTAGATAAGGTGTCAAACTTATAATTTGACACCGGTATCAAATATATATATATATATATATATATATATATATATATATATATATATGAGAAAAATATTTCTCAAGCTGCTTGAGATATATTTATCTCCGGTTACCCCAAAGCTACGTCATTTTGTTTATTCATTTCCTTATATTAATTTATTCATCTTTGAATGGTTATGATTCCCCTTTTCTCTCTCTTCCTTTATCATCATTGATTTATCTTTGTACGATTATAATTTAGTACCTGGAGATAAAGTTATCTCAAGCAACTTGAGAAACGATAAGCCCTATATATATATATATATATATATATATATATATATATATAGGGAATAACGTTTTTCCTGCCACTTGAAATATAGTTATACTATTAAAGTTGTTATTTTTTTCTCTTTCCATAAACTTTTTAGAAACTTGTCTACTATCGTGGAAAGAGAATTTTTTTTTTGATATTATAACTATGTACTCCCCGAAATTAGGGTTGGCAAAACGGGCCGACCCGGCCCGACCCAACCTGCATTCAACCCGAAAAAAATGAGCTTGATTAGGGCTGGCTCGAAAAAAAAACGAGCCAGAAAACCCAACCTGAGTCGGGTTAGGGTTGGTTCGCGGGTTAGCTCAAAAATATGGCTTGTGGGTTGACTTGAAAAAATAGCTCGCGAGTTGGCTCGAAAATTTGCTTGTGGGTTGCTCGTTTTCAGCCAATGTAAATGACCCTGTAGTATTAACGCACCAGCTATGTGGCTTCCATCAGCTTAAACAAAGGGTTACAAAGTGAGAAATAAAAGCAAAATATTTTAGTTTCAAATTTTCTTCACAACAAATTTGCATCAACATCAAGAAACAATTAGAACCACTTGCTACCAAAGCCTAACAATATAAAAATGGCAAGGATGTGAGAAGATTAGGGACTTAGGTTTAGAGAAAGAAGAAAAATGATGACAACATATGTAGGTTTTGTCCATTCTTGTACATTATATTTTATATTTTTTTATAAAAAAAAAACTCAACCCGCGAGCTGGCTCGTTTGATCGCGGGTTGGCTCGTTTTTTCACGAGCTGGATCGGGTTGGGTTGACAGTTCTTTTTTGCCAACCCAACCCGGCTCATTTTTGGCGGGTTACGAGCCAACCCGACGGGTTGACTCATTTTTGCCAACCCTACCCGAAATACACAGTTATAAGAAGATGACTATAGATAAATTTATTTCAAGTGACTGGAGAAATAATTTTCATATATATATATATATGATCCTGTGACACCAGTGTCAAATTTAAAGTTTGACACCTCATTTGAGAGCCGTTAGATAAAAAAAGATCAATGATGTCACATGCTTACAAATCAGAGTCGTTGATCTTTTTTTATCTAATGGCTCTCAAATGAGATGTCAAATTTCAAATTTAACACTGGTGTTAAAGGATCATACTTCATATATATATATATATATATATATATATATATATATATATATATATATATATATTTACACACACATGTGACGAGTATGTGAGAGGTGTCAATGGTAAGTGAAATTGAAAATTTGCAATATTCGGCGCAAGGCCCTTGGTTAAAGGAGCTACGAGAAAGTGGGGCCCATTTTAATTTGGTCACAAGCCACATTACCTGGCCCACCTTCCTACCACTTGTATATGCTTCTCCCTCGACCATGGAAATAGAATTAAATTAACAATTGACAATACTATATTCTACAGATTCATGCATCTAGCAAATTAACTAAAAAAATTGACTAGCCGGACTACAAGTTCATTAGCGAGATTCCTTGTTTAAAATATGTTACTGCTAGATCCTTCATTAATTGATTTTTCTTAAAGAAAGGTTAAATAAAAAGTCGAGGGAAAGTTCAAATTGGTGAGAATAACTGATTTAATTATTAAACTGCAATTCTGGCCCAAGGAAGGACCAATCAAAGGACATTTAGTGATAATCTCGAGGGATTAAATAAATGTTTTAAAGCAGAGCATCACAACACACGAGATCACACAGTGAGGAGGCAATGGAGTTTGACTCATTGTGGCAGGATGTGTCTGTTTAGAAACAGCGAATCTTTTACCAGCAAAAATAAAATAAATTCCTTCATAGGTGAATCTTTCAGATACGGACGCAAATCAAATAATTCAAGCAGTTAATTAATATTGTTTAAAATTAATATTTTTTACCAAAAAAATATATTCCCCCTGAATAGGAAAAAAGAGACAGCGTTTCGGCCCAAGTGGCATGTAAATTGGTGATTGCGTATCCGGTATCCCTTTGCCATTTTTTTTTTGGTATGTTAAAATTAAGGGAAATTATATTTACAATATTTTATTCTTACAACTATCTTTGTTATAGTTAGATTCCACGGCTCTTATTTAATATTATTTTAAAAATATTACTTTTATTTTAATTTAATGATAATAAAGATAATTGTAAGAAAAAAAAAATTATAAGTATAATCGCTCCTATCAAAATTATGGATCGAAGTTTGGTTTTTATAGTCAGGTCACAGTTAAAGGTAATAACTCTAACAAGATTTTGAATTAGCATATGAAAATCACAAGTAGCTAATTATCTCATTACGTTAGGTGCACAAATTTTGTTTTTCATGAAAGAAACTGACTTATCTAACTAAAAATTTCGTAAGTATATTAAGTAAAATAATACTACACACATATTACACACTTCACTTTTCTTTAATTTGAAATCAAATTCTCTTAATTGACAATTCACTTATAATAATTAATTAAAAATTTAATAATAATTAAGTATGATCCAATCCGTTCTTCTTCTTTTTTTCAATTCAGACGAGTGTTAGGGATGATCCGCGACACTCATTAATTTTTAAAATATGGAAATAATGAAGTAGAATTTTAGAGTCAGATTAATTACATGAATAGCATTTGTTTTCTTATAATAGAATTGTTACCCTGATATAGGAATATCAAGCGTCCAAGTTTTTTTTAAGAAATAAAAAATGTCATGAAATCATGACATTTAATTTATTTATTTATTATATGACATCAATTGACTTTGTTAAAAATTTCCCAATCTTATTCTTAGAAAAAAAAAAACAGGAGAAAACATTTTTAATTGAAAATCATGTTAATCTCGACTGAGAATTAAGAACCTATGAATATTTATAGAGTAGAGTCATGAATTGACCTTTTAAAAATTAGCATGTTATTAATTATATTAATCCTTTTATAATTAATTTTAATCACTAAATTAATCTCTCAAATATTCTTTTATAAAGAAAAACACGATAACATTCTACATTTAAAGGAATTAATTAATTTCAAAGCATAATTCACTTTCGGATTAATGTCTTAATTTTCAGCTGAGATATGAGATCTTCATAAAAAAAATATTTTCCCTTATTTTGTTTTTAATTAAGAAAGGGAATATTTTATCAGAGTCAATGACTGTCATGCAATAAGTTTATAAATAGATTAAATATCATGATAGCATTATTATTTTCCTTTCTTACAAAAAAGTTGGCGTTTTCTATTTCTATAACATGAGCAACAATTTTATTATAAAAAATTAAATATTATTCATGTAGTAATATATGTGTTCCACTTTAGTATTTTAATATTTTGAAAATTCAGGAGTATCACGGAACTAACCACCCTCCTTGAAAAGTTTTTTCCAATAATACCAAACCAGCGAAAAAATTATGGTTTGAAAACAGCGAATTTTTACCGGTAAAAAAATAAAATAAAAATAAAAACCATGATTCCTTCATTGCTGAATCTTTCAGACAAGGACGGAAATCGAATAATTCAAGCAATTAACTAATATTTTATAAAAATAATATTTTTTCCCCTGAACAGGAAAAATTTCGGCCTAATTTTTTGTTGTTTCTGCTAAGGGGCAAATTGGTGATTACGTACCCTTCCTCATTTATTTTTTTGGGTATATCAGAATTATGCATGGAAGTTTGGTTTTTCGGGCCAGGTTACACCTAAAGATAATATCTCTAACAAGATTTTGAAATAGCATATGAAAATCACAAATTGCTAATTATCTCGCAGGTACACAAATTTCGTTTTTCACGAAAGAAACAGACTTATAAAAGAAAATAGTGTTTGTCCTTAAAGAATATAGAATTGTGTTTTTTTATTAAAATTATTGTGTTTTAGAGTAAGAGAAACAGGAAAAAATGATATTTTTTTTTAAATTTTAATATTAATAAAAGTACTAATTTTAACTAAAATAATTGTAAAAGATATTAACATTTTTCCTTTAAAAGATTTTGCAAGTATATAAGGTAAAATAATACAACACACGTGTACTAAAAATAATAATAATAATAACAATAATATTAATATTATGAAAAAAGTGTTTGTCATTTTAAATGACATACATTCCGTCCTTTTAAGAGAGAGACAGACACAGAAAAAAAATTAATTAAATTTTAAATTAAAAAAAACATCAACTTTCTCTCTCTCATGATTTTTATTTTTCTGTGTCTATCTCTCTCCTAAAATGACATAACTTATATCATTTAAAATCTCAAACACCAAACCCTAATATTATACACATTTTACACACTTAACTTTTCTTTAATGTGAAATCAAATTCATTTAATTAACAATTTAATTATATTGATTAATTAAAAAATTGTGATAAGAATTCTGATTAAATAAGTAGTTGATGATGAGCTGTTGCGATAACATTTTAGTTTTTTTTTAATTGTTTAAGTGTTTAATATTTGTTGTATGATAGGAGATAAATTTATCTCTTATAAATAGATAAAAATATATGGGGCAGACCCCCAAAAAAGTTTACAACTCTTACAACTAATTTAATTATGGTTGATTTTTATCAATCTAACAGTTATAATTTATTAGAAATTAATAATTAATTAATAAATGTAACACAATAAATGCTATTAATTTTCAATAGATTATAACCGTTAAATTGACATAAATCAACGATAATTAAATTAGTTGTAAAAGTGATAAACTTTTTTGGTGATAAATAGATCCATTCCCAAAATATATAGGGTCCACATAAATCCAAGTAAAGGGAAAAAAATAAAAATAAATGATACACACTTTTGTACGAGTAGAAAATAGATTTATCATCTACCATATAATAAATAATGAGTTTTAGAAAAAATGATTGTGTTATGTTATAGAGATTCATTTTGCATGCTGAAGGTTTTTTTTTTTTTTTTGTTGCGGGTCCCACAAAATATTATGTGTAGAAAATTTTTTGTGGTCAGGTTAAATTATAGATGATAAACCCATAAACAATAAACCCATTGTTTAATTGAATCAACCTGATGAAAAATAATCCAAACCGAACCAAAATTTAATTGAAACACATAAGCATTTGAAGTCCGAAATTGCCTATAAAAGTACCCATTGATTCGGGAGGTAGTTGCAGTCTCCACACATTAAACACGACAGAAAAGCAGGGTAGAGCAGAGAGGGTCAGAGAGAGATTGAGAAACAGAGAAATGGGGGGCTGGGCTATTGCGGTGCATGGTGGCGCTGGTGTTGACCCTAATCTCCCACTCTCGCGTCAGGAAGAAGCGAAACAACTCCTTACGCGCTGTCTCAATCTTGGCATCTCTGCTCTTCGTTCCAATGTTTCTGCCATCGATGTCGTCGAACTTGTGGTACTACGTCTACCTAGTACTCCCCCCACACGCACCCTCTCTCTCTCTCTCTCCCTCCGGTTATTTTTTATAATGACCACCAATTTATGGGATAATAATTGTGTCGCTCTACAGATTCTTCATGCATGGCTCAATATTTTAAAATTCCATGAATAATTATAATAATAATTTAATTATTTCCAGGCATTTGGGAATTATTTATTCATTTTTGTTGGGCATTTTATTTATTTATTTGAGAAGTGTATGTTGTGTTTGTGACAGGTGAGGGAATTGGAAACAGATCCACTGTTCAACTCAGGCCGTGGATCTGCCCTGACAGAAAATGGGACTGTCGAAATGGAGGCCAGTATCATGGATGGCCCCAAAAGAAGATGCGGCGCTGTCTCCGGCGTCACCACCGTCAAAAACCCCATCTCGCTGGCACGCTTAGTCATGGACAAATCCCCACATTCCTACCTCGCCTTCTCCGGCGCCGAAGATTTCGCCAGGCAACAGGTTCCTTATTCCTAAGACTGTTCTCATCCCCATCTAAATCGTGTTAACCAAAACAAATTTTACACTTTTTTATTATCAGTTTGCACATGTTTCTTGTTTCTCTCTTCTTTTTTCTTACCCCCTTAATAAATTAAATAAATCTGAACCAAGCGAATTCACATGACAATGATGACATGCCTTTTTTTTTTCTTTTTTTTTTTTGTCAACGTTTGCAAATATATTGATATAATAAAATTATAATTATTCACTGCCAACTAAATGACATAAAGTTGGGTTTTGCTAGGGTGTGGAGCTCGTGGACAACGAATACTTTATCACCCCTGAAAATGTTGGTATGCTGAAGCTGGCAAAGGAAGCAAATGCAATCCTGGTAGATATTTGTAATATTTAATTAATAATAATGAATCTTTGTTTGAAATAGTCAACAGTGAATGTTTCCACTTACGCACAATGTTTGGTAATGTACGATGATGATGCAGTTTGATTATAGAATTCCAACAAATGGGTACGAGACATGCGGTGCAGGGGTTGAGAGTCCATTGCAAATGAATGGACTGCCAATCAGCGTATACGCGCCCGAGACGGTAGGGTGCGTGGTGGTGGACCGTGAGGGTAGGTGTGCGGCGGCCACATCCACTGGGGGCCTTATGAACAAAATGATTGGTCGAATCGGTGACTCACCACTCATAGGTGCTGGGACCTACGCGTGTGACGTTTGTGGGGTATCATGCACTGGGGAAGGAGAGGCAATCATACGTGGCACTCTGGCGCGTGAGGTGGCGGCTGTCATGGAGTACAAAGGACTGAACCTTCAGCAAGCAGTGGATTTTGTCATCAAGCATCGACTCGATGAAGGGAAAGCTGGTCTCATAGCGGTTTCCAACACTGGTGAAGTGGCTTGTGGGTTTAACTGTAATGGCATGTTTAGGGGCTGCGCCACTGAGGATGGGTTCATGGAGGTTGGAATTTGGGATTAGTCTACAGTTGCTGACTTAGTGGGGGGTTTTCTTTGTTTTTTCTTTGCTTTTGCTATAGTTGGGGGGTGGGGTGGGGTTGGTTGTTTCGGTGCAACTCTTGTAATGGTTGGAAGAGGGTCCTGGTTGGTCTTTTGTTTCTGATGAATAGAAATGTGAAATAATAGTTGTAACTCTTTGTCTATTTTGGTAAATAAAAGCTCGTGACAGACCCTCAACACACCCCTGGTAGCTTTTTTCTCGGTAATATTTGTCGTTTTAAGAATGATTATTTTAATTAAAATTAAAAAATCACTCATTTTTTTTTTTCATAATTTATATTGTATATCTCTTTTTCTCATTTTAAAAAAATATAATTTTATATATTTTGAAAAGACAAACACGAAACCATATATTGACTAGTGAGAGATTCTTGTTATGGCTTGTGTCCAACCTAATCAGCGAAACTCCAACGTAGTACATAAAAATTCCATTAATTATACACGTGAAACTGCCCCCACCGTAAGCAGCCTCTATGAATGGTGTCATGGAATGGTTACTGCTTACCATTAGACATTAGTTCCCTCCACTTGGCAACATACTCAAAATAAAATATAGGGATGTTGGAAGTGTTTTTTATTTTAAAGGTTGGTGAGATAAACTGATGACTGAACGTGTCACCAAGTTGTACGGCAAAAAAGAGAACATGTCAACAACTATATTAACAAATAAATTGTTAAGAGTACACTGATGTATGAAAGAGAAATGGGGACTAGACTACAACGACCGATTGGAATAGAAAATAATGAACGATTCGGAATTCAGTTTATTCATTTCACAAAATTAATTGCGTAAATAAATTAATGGTTACAGGTGGTAAAAATTGGTACTGAACCCATTTTTTTTATTAACTTTTAATCAAACGAAAAATTATTTTTTTTAATTAAATGTAGATTCAATGTCAAATTACAAAGACCTACACATGATATATAATTTTATACCAATACAAGACATAAGATGGCTTGTTATCTCTTAATTTTTATTTTTGTTGTAAGCGTGGTTGTTTTGCTTATTGTCCTATAATAACCAAGTCTTACATTTTATATTGTTTTTAGTTATGAAAGTATGTTTCTGGACTTGATATGTTAGGAGAAGATCACCTTTGATTTTATCCTTTAGCAACTAAGTCCTAGTTTTTAGCAAGAATAGTTTGTTATTATTCCATGTATAGTTTGTTGAACAATATACTTTATTCTAGTTGATCCTCCTTGATTCTGTATAACCGACTTGTGTATATATTGGCTATCAGCCATTTCATTAAATATAACAACATATTCAAATCCTCTTAGTTTTCTATATGGTATCAGTTTGAAGGTATCGATCCACTTTCCCAATGGCTGATTCTGATTCAGATTCTTCCGCTGTCAATATCAATGCTAATGCCAATGCAACCAACCCTACCCTTACACCGTCTGATCCTCGTTCCCCATTTTTCATGCCCACATCTGATAGCCCTGGTTTATTTCTCACCAATGTTGTGTTAAAAGGTGAAACCAACTATGATGTGTGGGCCAAAGCATTCAAAAATGCACTCCTTGCAAAGAACAAAATCGGTTTCATAGATGGCTCCATTCACAAACCTGCTGCTGTAGCATCTGATGAAACCCACGCTTGGACACTTTGCAACTCCATGATCACCAGCTGGATCCACAACACTATTGATCCACTTCTCAAGCCATATATTCATTATTTCTCCACTGCTAAAGCACTATGGGATGATCTACGCGAAAGGTACTCTATTCAAAATGCTCCTAAAATTTATCAGCTCAAATCCAATCTTTTTCAGCTACGACAACAAGGCATGTCTATTAGCAATTATTACACCAAATTAAGAGGTGCTTGGGATGAACTTGATGCTGCACGAGCCTTACCAGATTGCCCTCATGGCTCCAATTGTCCTGTTACACAATATATCACCAAAGAAATGGCAGATGATAGGGTCTACCAATTTCTATTAGGCCTGGACAATGCTATGTTTGGCACGATTCGAACACAACTCCTCAATCAACCGCTTCTGCCATCCTTAAACAAAGCATATTCCACGCTAGTCTAGGAAGAAACTCAGTTCCATATGGCTCAGACTCCTGACACTCGTAATGATGCACTTAGCTATGCTGCAAGAGAAAATTCAAATCCTCATTCCTCCAATGCTGATCCTGTTCGTTGCACTCACTGTGGTAAATTATACCATGATGTTTCCAAATGCTATCAATTACATGGAAGACCACCATATGGACGTGGAAGAGGACGTGGCAAATCTTATGACAAGCGTCCCAACCCATTCAATTTTTCTGCATCACAAACAGCAGCTGCAACACCTATAGTGTCCAACCAAAACTCGATTCCCAACCTGAGTCCTGAGCTTCTACAGCAAATTGCCAACATGATTGTTTCCTCCACTACACCGTCTGCTAACACTACATCCCTTTCTGGTAAGCACACTCTGCCTTCTACCTGGTTGGTGGATAGTGGCGCTTCTCAACACATGACAGGGAACCTCCATTTAATCTCCAATGTTACATCTATTCCACCCACTACAATAGGTTTACCTGATGGTGATCAACTTGTTTCCAATCACAGTGGCAGTCTCAAGTTGACATCTCATATTTCTCTTCAGAATGTGTTATATGTTCCCAAATTACAATGCAACCTCATATCAGTTGCTCAATTACTTGCTGATACAAATTGCATCATTTCTTTTACTCACAATGGCTGTGAATTGCAGGACCCCATAACGAGGATCAAGACTGGACTGGGTAGATTGCAAGCTGGTGTTTATGTGCATGACTCATCCAACAACAAATCCATCTCTACTGCATGTGCGGCTCACACTCAACAGAATGCAGATGTTTGGCACCGTCGATTGGGTCACCCTTCATTTCAGTTTTTAAGCTTTCTTCCTTTTGTTACAGTGAATAAAAATAGGGGTCATTCTCCTTCAGTTTGTGACATTTGCCTACGCGCACAACAAACTCGTACTGTATTCCCTATTAGCATTAATAAAACTACTGCATGCTTTGATCTTATTCACTGCGATATCTGGGGTCCATATCAAACTACCTCTCTAACCGGTGCAAGATATTTTTTAACAATTGTGGATGATTATAGCAGAAACGTCTGGGTTTATTTAATGACCACCAAGTCTGAAACGTTCCAATACTTAACTCGATTTCTTCTCATGGTACGTAATCAGTTTAATACCATGGTCAAAATAATACGCTCCGACAATGGATCAGAATTTTGTGCTCATAATCTCCGCAAGGTTTATTCCGATATGGGAATTATACATCAAACATCATGTGTAGACACACCACAGCAGAATGGTCGTGTTGAACGGAAACATAGACATATTTTGAATGTTGCAAGAGCATTACGCTTTCAAGCTAGTCTTCCTATCGAGTTTTGGGGTGAATGTGTTCTAACTGTGGTACATTTAATCAATAGAACCCTCACTCCTCTTCTCCAAGGAAAAACACCATATGAATGTCTTTTCAACCGCACACCCAGCTATGATCATATTCGCATATTCGGATGTCTTTGCCATGCTCATCCACGTCCCAAACCGTTGGACAAGTTTGCAGCTCGATCAACTCGGTGTCTGTTCCTGGGATATCCTTTTGGCAAAAAGGGTTGGAGGCTTTATAACCTTGAAACACATACTGTTTTTGTATCCAAAGACGTGGTATTTGAAGAGAACACCTTTCCTTTTGCACCAACCACAGTCATTCCTACCACTGATATTCCTCACGACCCAAACCCCCATAACCCCATATCACCCGAACCAACCCTTGCTCCACAAAGCCCATCCTTTGATTCCCAAGTTGTTACCAACCCTGTCCCTTTAATTGAAGACACTCTCCCTGTTGAACAGGCTCAGCCCGAATCTGCCCCTACTGTCTCCAATGAGCTTTCTATCCGACAAGAACAGCCCCCAGAAGTCACACATCCATCTGCACCTTTGGGACGTGGTCACCGTTCTCGCCGTCCTCCATCACATCTCCAAGATTTCGAATGCTCCAAAGTCATCGCACATAATCCACTAGCTTCTTCTATTTCTTCCAGTCCTTCCTCAGGTATGGCTTATCCTATTGCTAACTTTGTTTCTTGTTCTAGATTCTCTCCCAAACATCAATAATTCCTTGCTGCCATTTCTTCTGGTGTTGAACCAAAAACATTCAAGGATGCTGTAACTGATGAAAGGTGGCGTGTAGCAATGCGAAAAGAAATAGATGCCCTTGAACAAAATCGCACGTGGGAACTCACTTCTTGCCACCAGGAAAACGTGCCATTCCATGCAAGTGGGTATACTGTATTAAGTACAACTCAAATGGTACAGTGGAGAGATTCAAAGCACGGTTGGTCATTGCCGGTAACAATCAAATAGCTGGAGAAGAATATAGAAGAAGTTTCCGAACACTTCTTGCAGTAGCTGCTGCCAAATCATGGCACCTATACCAGTTGGATGTTACGAATGCCTTTCTACACGGAGACCTTACCGAAGAAGTTTACATGCGCGTTCCACAAGGTTTCAATCACCACAAACCACATCAAGTATGTCGCTTACGTAAATCTCTTTACGGTTTGCGGCAGTCCCCTCGCAATTGGTTTGCTAAGTTGCGGTCTTCCATTGAATCATATGGCTTCATCCAATCCAAGGCAGATTACACCCTATTCACCTTACACAAAGATGGCCACTTTGTTGCTCTTCTCATCTACGTTGATGACATTATTCTAACGGGCGATAATGATGCCTTATGCACCGATGTCAAGGTCTTTCTCCAGTCAAGCTTTCACATCAAGGATTTGGGGATTCTTAAATATTTTCTTGGCATCGAAATAGCTCACGGTCCATCAGGTCTTTTTCTGAGCCAACGAAAGTACGCTCTCGACATATTGGAAGACGCTGGTCTCCTTGCGTGCAAACCATGTGCCTTCCCTCTCGAAACAAATCATAAGCTTGCAGTTACAGAAAGTCCTCCATTCTCGGATCCCGCACGTTACAGAAGACTCATAGGACGTTTGGTTTACTTGACAATTACTAGACCTGAGTTAAGTTACTCCGTCCATGTTCTTTCCCAGTTCATGCAAAATCCTACTATTGCTCAATATGATGCTGTCATCCGCGTTTTAAGGTACATCAAAACTGATCCTGGCCAAGGTTTACTCCTTCGATCCGACA